CCTTATACCCCTATCTCCTTATCTCCTTATACCCCTATCTCCTTATCCCTCGGCTTTCTTATCCCCTTATCCCTCGGCTTTCTTATCCCCTTATCCATTTCTACCCCTATCTCCTTATCCCTCGGCTTTCTTATCCCCTTATCCATTTCTACCCCTATTTCCTTATACCCTTATAGCCATATCCCCTTATGCTCTTCTACCTTTTATAGCCTTATCACCCCATCCTCTACACTCTAAAAAAAATAAATACTCTCGGAAACCGATAGAGAGTTTCCGGGTTTGTCCCTATATGAAACCCTTTATAGGTTTCGGGGAAAGAGTTCCTGAGCTCTCGCAAACCTGTCGGAAACCGTTTTGACTACTACAAAAAGGTATCGACCTCGGAAACCCTACATAGGTTTCTGGTACTTCGCATACTATGAAAGGTTTTTGCTCGACCAATTCTCGAAATAATGATATACATATATCTCAATCTATATTAATTGAAATATCGAAAATAAGACCTACATTTCTATATAAAAGATATAGAAATACTCATATATCTATATCTCAATCTATATCGACTGAGATATACAAAACAAGTCTTACATGTCTATATCATAGACATAAAAATAAACCTATTGTTATATCTCAATTTATATCAATTGAGATATTGAAAACAAGACTTACATTTCCATATCATAGATATAGAAATAAATAAATAAAAATACATATCTCAATCCATATCAATTGAGATATTGAAAACAAAACTTAGACTTCTATATCGTAGACATAGAAACAATGCTATATATATACATCTCAATCTATGTCAATGGAGATATTCAAAACAAAACTCAGATTTCCATATCACAGATATGGAAATAATGATATATCTATATCTCAATCTACATCAATTGAGATATTCAAAGCAAAACTTGAATTTCTATGTCATAGATATAGAAATAATGATATTGTTATATCTGGATCTATGTTGACAGAGATATTGAAAAGAAAACTTAGATTTCTATATCATAGTTATAGAAATAGTGATATATCTATAGCTCAATCTATATCAATTGAGATATTTAAAACAAACCTTAGATTTCTATGTTATAGGTATAGAAATAATGATATTGTTATATCTCAGTGTATATCGAGTGAGATGTACAGATCGAAACTTAGATTTCTATATCAGAGAGACAGAAATAATGTATATCTATATCTCGATCTATATCGACCAAGACATTCAAAAAAGACTTAGATTTCTGTATCAGAGGTATAGAAATAATGACATATCTATATCCTAATCTATATCGACTGAGATATTCAAAACAAGACTTCGATTTGTAAATAATAGGGATAGGAATAATGATATTGGTATATATGAATCTTTATCAATCGAGATGTCGAAAAGAAGACTTAGATTTCTAAAGATGGCTACGTACTGTAACCTGTATTCTTCGAGAAGTAATTCATTTTAGAGGAAAATTTCTCACTTCTGTTTAAAGTTTAGACGTACATTCTTGCTTTGAGAAGTTACGTTGCAAAACATTCACTCGTGAAGGTAACAAGCATTGTACTAATGCAAATCTCACGAATATTAGTGTAATCGTTGAAGTTTTTTTTTCATGAATATTTATTCAAGATAAGAATAGATTGAGGCGGAATTGCCGAATTAGAAATGCCACAAGTGAGATCATACACGACAAGAAAAGAGCAGACAGAATCTGCGTTAGGATCTACTGTATGTTGTTTTGTTTATGAATCTTACTTGATCTGATAATATCCGACCTCAGTAATTCAGTCGGTTGTTATAAGTTTCTTAATTTTCGCACGTTACAAGAGTTTTGCTGAATACTTACAATTAGAATCTGATGAAACGTCGGAGATAAGTAATGCATATGTGCTTGTACCGATTTTACGTGCAGAGGTTAGAAAAATTCTTCTATGCACAAGATCCTATAGGATTTTATATGATGTGGCGTCTAACTTTTGACATCGGAAGTGAGTCATAGGCTTCAAGTCTTTTAATACAGAGTTTTGATGTCAGTCAAAGTCTCAAAGTCAGTGAGAGTCTCGAAATCAGTCACACTCTTCGAGTCTCTTAATACAGAGTCTTGATGTCTCTTTGAGTAACCTAGTATTTCTTTGCTGCTCTCCGATTTTCACAGTAAAACTTGTCATACTGCATTCAAATTTTTAGATCAGGAAAGATATTAAAAAAAATCAAGATTCTCTCGGAAACAAAGCGCTTCTTTTGTATTATGAGAGTTCCAATACTTTTTCAAAACAATTTCGCATCACTTGAATAAAACTCATGTCATTCGTATCGAGCAACTGTTAAACCTGAAAATTGTACGGTGGAAACATGAAGGTCAAAAAGAAGATATTTGATTGATATTTGGGTTTTTCATAAGAATAATGGGTTTCCGAGCTTTTGTTCGAAAACTCAAAGGTTTTCCAAAGGTTCGGAAACTCTGTAGGGTTTTTGACATAATTTCGGAAACCATATGAGTATTCTGGGAAATATTTCCGCGGTTTCCGACGCTCGAAAACCCGAAAAGGTTTTTGACAAAAAAATATTGGAAACGCAAAGGTATTCAAGGATACGTCTGTGGTATCCGAGGAAACCGTTCGATTCTCAACAATAGCTCAGGGTTTCCGAGAATACGGATGAGCGTTTCCGCAACCGTATTCTCGAAAACGCGGCAGATATTTTTGGAAACTCAACAAGTGTCCGGAAACCTTTCCGGTTATCTTTATAGGTTTCCGAAGCGGTTTCCGAAGGAGTTTAGGCTTGCGGGAAAACGAATTTTTTTTAGAGTGTATACCCTTGTCTACTTATACCTCTATACCCCTATTCTCTTATACCCTTAGAGCTCTATCTCCTTATTCCCTTATAGCCTTACCCCTTATCCCCTATCCCCTTATACCTCTGCTCCCATATCCCTTTCTATCCCTACTCCCTTATTCTCATATAGTCCTATCCCTTTATGCCTTATTCTCTATCCCCTTATATCCTTACGACCTTTGACCCGGCGCAGACACACAGACGCTGAACATAATATGCAGGGTGGTCCATAAGTCACCGGACACCTTAGGAGTGATAACAAATCTTGATCTCTGTTACCTGTTCATTTAAAATTCAGCATTTTTATCCAATAAATATTTCTTAACAAGGGTAGCTGCACTACATTGAATAAACCTTTATTTGTTATAAATCGGGGGTTTTTAAATGAACAGGTAACAAAGATCAAGATTTATTATCACTCCAAAGGTGTCGGGTAACTTATGGACCATCTGTGTATAGATGATAGAGACTTTCGAGCTCTGTCAAAATCTATATTTGCTTTTCAAAAATTTGCCCATAGGGATATCATTTCAAAAATAACACTGCAAAAATAACAGAAAATGCAGATTTTTGGTACTTGTCGATTAAGAATTTTTTCATTGTACTGAAATTATTTTTCAATAAATGAGTGCAAGAAAAAAAAAGAAAGCATACAGGATGATAGAGAATTTCAAGCACTATCAGAATATATAATTGTTTGTTTAAAATGTAATTTTGTAGTGATAAAAGATTTAAAAAACTAATTTTGATGACAGTGACAAAATCAGGTTTGTGGGAGTCTGGACATGAGGGTGCCTTTATTGCGATTAATTTATTTTGATAATGCATAGTTGCAAACTAGAACTTAATTATATAGGATGACATAAAACTCAACGGGCTTTCAGAATATGTAATTAGTTTTTAAACAATGTGGTCTTATAGTGACACTATATTTGATATATGGACTGAAACTATTCTTTTCCGGGGATATACAGGGGGTTTCAAAAGTTCCTGAGAAAAGTTTTTTCGTTTCATGTCTCTATTGACTGAACTTCATCCAACAATTTTTTTTGGATAATAGATAAATACACAGAGTTTTGATTTGTACAGACGAATTTCAAAAGCATTGTGGAAAGCTAAGACATTTAGCCGAAATACAAAACTTTACCCTGTTTCCTTTTTCTAGAAAAACACTACATAGCATTTTGTTTTTTAATTACTTCGAGTTATCGAGTCATTCAAATCGTTAAATTGTCCGATAGTTGGACGATCTTTTCAAGGAATTTTATTTTGATACGTCTTTACAAAAATGACATAAAGAGTGTCAAATCAAAATTCAAGCAGTTAAAAAAAAATACATCATCCATGAATATTTGTGGAAAGAGACAACGGGGTAAATTTTTGTATTTCGGCTAAATGTCTTAGCTTTTCACAATGCTTTTGAAATTCGTCCGTAGAAATCAAAACTCTGTGTATTTATCTATTATCCAAAAAAAATTGTTGGATGAAGTTCAGTCAATAGTGACATGTAACGAAAATACTTTTCTCAGGGCCTTTTGAAACACCCTGTATATTGTATACATCATTCAATTTGTGAGCTTTTATCGTCGTTGGCGAAATATGTTAATCATAATGTGTTACAATGGGTGTAAAAGGGAGAAGAAGAGTAGTCTCCTGTAGTAGACTTTAGTTTTGTAGATCAGACCTGGATAAGTAGGGACTTTCTTAAGTACCAGTTTGACGAAATCGCACGTCAGACGGGACTTTCGCATATGATACTTTGAGACATGTGTTCTGCACTGTCACAGCATTATAATCGAGTACCCATAAATGCACTTTTACATAAGAGCAGAGGATGAAAACTAGCTACTTGCCTCCTCTTTGAAGAGCAGAAATACGTACGTGACCCTACTTTTAATATGTCATATGTTGTTTGAGATGACGAGGATATAAAATACGGTTTTGTTGTTCACAAAATCAACTTAGCAATGGTAACCGATGACGGTGCAACGGTTTATTTCGCAATGCATTTTAATCAATTTTTCGAGTCATGCCTTTGTGCTCAGATACCGGTGCGCCCCGAAAAATTGATCAAGAGATGCTTTGAAATAAACTTTTTTAGTATTATTAGAAGTCGCCATTAAATTCATATAAAGGCAAAAAACGATAACATTTCGTGGGTAGAAAACGATTATATATAACACTATGTTTCAGAATGCTTGGTGTGCAAGTGGGAGTACGCTAAATGTTGTGCTTTGCTCTACCACATTGTGAGTATGTATGTCACGGTCCGTGAGGTAGGAGAAAGAATATTGAGGGGTCTCTTACAGTCTATGACAGAAGAAATCGTTGCTAAGAGCATCTGTCATTGTATGAGATGACATAGAGGCAATATCCACTTTTAGATTGTGTTTTATAAAAAAAAGAGTTTCTGTATTATCCAATGTAGTGCCCGATGTATGATTTTCGGCGGAAACATAAGTCATATTTCACGTGACTCACAATGCAAAAATTTTTTGAGTATGCCGATGCTATTAAGTGTAGATAGTGAATATGGATATATAAATATAGAGAGATCAGTATGATGATACAAACAACTTTTCATAAGAGATTATATAGCAATCTTTTGCTGGCAGCATTGCTGAGCCATAAACTGATACATGCTGATATTCTCGAAGTTGTCCAATCTGTGTTACAATATTTTAACTTACTATTATATCTGACAAGATGTCAATAATCTTTCTCAAAACCATATATTTAGTGCTCAATTTTATAATCATTATTTTTTATGTGTAGTTGCGTTTTACTTACGACCGGCTCTTTTAATCCTATTCATCCTTTACATTTTCAAACTCTTCTACGTGTTAAACAATACCTTGAACATGAGCATCAACCTCCATGGAACGTCCTCGCCGGATATATCTCTCCAACACAGTATGTTGTTTTTCATTTCTTTCTCGCTTCACAGACATATATAATGTTATTTGCTCCAGTGATTCATATGTGCATAAAAAATTGGGCGATCCTGCATGGATTCCAGCTAAGGATCGTTGCCGACTTGCTGAACGCGCTATGGAATATGAAGATTCAGAAGCATCGTCGTGGATTAGCATTTCTCGAGGTGAAAGTGAAGCTGATGGGTTCGTTGATTTTCCTGATGTTACTAAAAATTTTCGAAATTTTCTTAATAACACACTTGTCGATCAAGAAAATATTCTCCAATATCCATTGCGTGTAGTCTATGTCTGCGGATTAGATCATTATAACAAGTGCTCCGACGTTGAGAGAATGGCAAAACAAAATAACATGGCTTCTGCAGTTATCTTCCGTATTGGAAATGACGATAAGCAAATCAGTCATTCGGTTGGAACATCAGGTGCTATGTACATTCCATTATCAAAGGAGCGTGCCCAACTTCCTGATGTAAGTTCGACACTAATTCGAGAATATTTTCGAAGTATAGGTACGGCCAAAACCAATATTGAACGATATATTTATCCCCATGTTCGTGACTACATGAGCCAAAAGTATCGGAAAAAATGAGCCGACGATCATTATCTTTTAGTCAATCATCATCAATGATACAAACTTTCATTCATAGTGTCCATAGATGAAGGTGATTGTGTGGATAAATTAATGCGAATCAACAATAATAATAAATAAATGAATAACACAACTGACAACTTAATGAATAGGGTGTGGGTGTGGGTGTGGGTGTGGGTGGGGATGTGGGGTGTGGGTGAGGGTGTGGGTGTGGGAGTGAGGGTGTCGGTGTGGGCGTGGCTGTGGCTGTGGATGTGATTTAAGAGAGCCCACACCCACCCACCCTTGGTTAAATATTTCCCATATAAATATTTCCCAACCAATCGTGAATACAGAAATAAGAGAAGCAAAAAACCTTTCATCCTGCAGTTACATCATTATATTTTTTATGAGTAGGATCTTTACCACGAATATTAGTTATTTATCGTGTGCTTTAATATTAACAATATAACTGTATTGAGGTCTTTTATATATAATTTCACAAAAAATTCATAGTTCTTGGTAAAGAATTATTCTTTTTTTTGTTCATAAAAAATGATCAAAATTAACGGGTGGGCCAGATTAAATTGCCGCTTTTTGTATTTTATTTTTTCATCGTCTAGTACGTTTTATTAAAAAACAAGATATACCACAAGATGCAGCATGAAAAGCTCTACAATTTAGAAAGAATAGTTTATGTAAATAAGAAAAAAGGAATTTCTCATTCGTGTCGAAAGAGTAATTTTTTCACAGTGTCAAATATTGGTCGCGCAGAATTTTGCTTTTTTTCAGAACAAAAAGAACACAATTAAACTATGCTTTACATTGTACATTGTAGAGCTTTTCACGTAGCATCTTGTGATATATTTTGTTTTCTTTATGAAAACATATTAGTTGATAAAGAGACGAAATAAGAAAAAAATTATTTCTTATTTCCGTGGAAAACCATGATCTTTGAGCAGCGTCGAAATTTGATCACTCAAAACTTTGTTCATTTTGCAAACAAAAATTGCAACTATAAAATAAGTGGTCTTATGTAACTTGTAGAGCTTTTCATGCTGCATCTTGTGGTATATTTTGTTTTTTAATAAAACGTACTAGACGATGAAAAAATAAAATACAAAAAGCGGCAATTTAATCTGATCCACCCGTTACTTTTAATATGTATTGTCAGGATCGATATGAATAATTAAAAACGAGAGATAATGACTAACAATGGAATATATTTGAGTGTACTCATGCAAAGAGAGATTTAAAACATTCAATCATAAAGGGTCACCCATGAATATCTCGAATATGAATATATTAGCTGCTTTCGTTTAGGTCTGAGAAAAAAAACACTAACTTTTCAGATGTAGACTCTATTCTGCTAATATGTATATCATAAAGTTTTTCTTTTTTTTCCACAGTCCGCTAAAATTATCATTTCATTCATAGAAAACAATTGTAGAAAATCAACAAGCTTCGTTTTTGTTTCAAGCTAGCTCTCTGTCAAAAATAGTAGTATTATATTTGTTTTCCATCTCAGTATTCGCTTCATTAAAGATTTTCTTTTTTCGACAGTTTACTAATGATTATCAGGTTTATATGGAGCAGTTCAATCAAAACAAAAATGCACAAAGTAAAAATGTTTATGATCTTCGATGAAAAGCTGTTGAAAATATAAAGTTTCATCGTACCAGCTGTAACATATGAAGGTCTGTTCATTACATCTTCAACACGGACGATTGCCAAAATCGAAATACGTTATTGCAACTGATATCTAATTCCAAGTAATTTTCATCTTCATCGACAACTGGATCCGCACATATCACCAGAATTAGTGCATGTTTTGAACTAAATTTTCATGAAGTTGCTCTAAATTTGGTATAGATTCGCTTGTAAACTTCACCGAAAATTATGTTTCATGCGAGGAAAAATATTTTCTTGCGAATGAAGATATAGTTGAAGATGTGGAAGGATTTTGAGTTGCACATACTACGGAAACGTGATTGAGTTTTTATTTTTTAATCATATCATATAAAATTAATATTTTTATTGTTCGATTTTGAATCAAATAATAATCAATATCAACTTTTAATTGAGACGGATAGAATAGAAAAGTACACTTATTTTATGGAACTACTGAGAATCGAGGTGTAACCCTTTCGGTTGACCGACGGCAGCAACGGCGACTGAAAAATTTTAAAAATTTTCTTTCTCGGCAGCGGCGGCTGCACTTTTTTTCCACAAAATTATCGACGGCGAAAGGTTAGCCGATTGACTTACACTTCTAGCTGCATTTCATTTATTATCACGTTCATCAGCGGCTGCATATTCTTGTACAATGGCAACGGTTAATTCTACCAAAGAAAGGACTAAACCACCTATAAGTTATATAGGATTAATAAGATTAGCTATACAAAATAGTCCAGACCAAAAATGTACTTTAAATGGTATTTATCAATATATTATGGATCATTATCCTGTAAGTATTTAATGAAAATATGAAATAATGATTTTGATTTTTTTTTCTCTAGTATTATCGAGAAAATCGAGCAGAATGGCAACGATCTATTCGACATAGTTTATCATTCAATGAGTCTTTTGTTAAAGTTGCACGAAATGAGAAACAACCAGGTTTGTTAAATATTGACATTCGATTACAGAGCTAATAATATCGATACTTTCTAGACAATGTATAATCATTCCAACTATTGAAAAGGATGTATTATTGCATTAAAATAAGTGTAATATATAACTCCTCCTGTAGGTTTCCGAGTAATGTTGGAAAATGTGAGGATAGGAAGTTGAATTAAAATAACTTTCAACATTTATTCTTTTGACCAAATTAATGTAAATCAAAAATTCACTCATGTAATACTTTGAGAATTCATAGATTGATAGGATATTTCAAGCTCTTATGACTGAATGTACCTTTTAAGAGACATTTTTTTACGAAGTCAAATGGATTAAGAATTTTCAGTAAGGTTTCATCCAATAGTTGAACACTACGGTTGACAATATCACTCCAAAAAAACAAAAACTTAGGTTGAGTCTACGAAAAAATAAAATTTGCAAAAAAAATTATGAATTTTAAAGAATCTGTTGTAGTGTTTGACGGACACTTAAAAATGATTTCTTTTACACTCTATAACCTATCAGATCATCTTAGTCTGGGAAAATATTGATTTTGAAATATATAGTTCTGTCAAATTTTTTCAATAACAGTTATTGCAATGTACTTTGAAATTTAGTTCGTTGAAAGAGAGTATCGATTAGCTTTTCTTGGTGTTTCATTGTAATTCTTCAAATCTTGAATAAAAAAGTTCGAGAAATCTTCTTTTTGCCGAGATTCCTGTAATCAAACAAAAGTTCTTGATAAAGATCGGAGAATCGAACATATATCATATGGACCGATCAAAAACTACTCACTACATCAAGGGCAAATATTTGTCTTACCCTTAACGTATAATCTTTATAATATCGGGTGGCGCATAAAGAATGACGATCACAGTATTTTATCGATACCTTCTTCAATTTTAATCGATCATATTTCGGCTTAGTTTTGAAAGACTCCTCGTGCAATTCTCTACAGTGACTCGCATTTTAGAGAATCGCACAAGAAATCTTTGAAAATTAAGCTGAAATATGAGCGATTAAAATTGAAGGAGATATCGATAAAAATACTGAGACCGCCATTCTGTATGCATTACCCGATATTTCAAAGGCTTAAAATAAACTCATATTCAATAGGCTCATCATACTCGTCTTTTCGAGCGCTACAAAATGACTATGTTAATGTTTTTCGTTAAAGCTTTGAGAGGGTCTCATTTCAGGTACTTTGTTTATTTTACATTATAGGCGCCTTGAAACGAAAATAAAAATAAAAGTAATTAATATTTTATATTTTTATATTATACGCAGCTTGAAACGAAAATGAAAATAATTAATTTCTTAAAACCTTTTCCAGTCACATTTGTAATGGTTGAAACGAAAATGAAGATAGTGAATTTCTTAACATCTTTTTTTTTTAAAACATTTTTAATGGGCGCTCAACAAATAACTTAAACATCTTTTTTTTTGGTTATTTCTCAACGATATTTGTGATAAGCAATCATTAAATTATTGTAATATCTATATTCTTTTTTTCAAGTTATAGATTTTTTAAAATATGAATTTTATTGTATATTTAGTATATTAACTTTTTTTTCTTCAATAAATTCTTACAGTACAAGCTACTTCATCACTTAATTATCTATATGACTCATTCTCATTTCATCAACGACTATCTATTGTACTATTTCTTGTAAGATAGTGACTGCTGTATTATATATGTTGCGTTTTTTAATACAAAATTTTAAAATATACAATAAATAATCTTCTAGAGAATGGCACGATGCTTTGTCTAGAATAAGCACAACTGATTGAAAAATATTCTGGTATGTTGAGTTATATCTACTACTTGCATAGCATTAAAAATTCATTTATAAATACCTGTTATTATGTTTCTCTAAATTTAATGTATTGTTATTCTAAATTATACTTATATATGTGAATATTTATGTATTTAATCAACATAAATATTTATTAACAAAATAATATTGCTTCATTGTAATTACTCAACTGTAATGAATAAAGAAATTGAATTTCACTGGACTAAAACTCAGAGGGGTGCACCTGCAATTCAGATTGATACCAACTTATATCATATTCAAAAACGTAATAACAATGGCTCAATTAGATTTACTTGTACAGATGAACGTTGCAATGCATCAGTTACTTTACTTAATGATAAAATAAAGTTTATCAGAGGAACACATCGACATGGGGAACGTGTACCTCCATTTCATATTTTGCAAGTGGTACATGAATTTCGACAAAAAGCTGTTTCTGATATAAGAACTCCATTACCTTGAATTTACGACCAAGTCACAAAAAAATTTGTAGATTTTAATATGTAAATTTTTTTCATGATAATTTTTATTGTAGAGACGTCAATATGGAACAGCAGCTGAAATACCAATGTTTCAGCAATTAAGGTCTACAGGATACCGAAAACGTTTAGAAATATTACCACCATCTCCGAAAAAAACAAACATACGTACGTTTATAATACCGGAGGTTTTTCGTTTGAACTTATCAAACGAACCTTTTTTGATCCATGATTCAGCAAATCCTGATCGTATAATAATTTTTGCATTAAAAAAATCGTTAAATTATCTCGGTACGTATACAGTTATATGTACACTTAAAGCACATAAAAAGAACCGAAAAATTTTGATGAACAAATTTCTTAATAAATATCGCGATAAAATAAATAATAGAAAAAATCAATCTTCCAAAAGAACTGAAAAAATTTATTTCTATATTTTGGATTTTTTGTATAATGATCTGTATAAATGTTTCTACGTATATTTTAACAAATTTCTTAATTCCCTCGACTGAAGAGAGGGTGATACGGAAAAAACTCAAAAGCGTTTGTGGCGGGCTTTGTGCCAGGGTCAAAAGAACACAAAGGTCAAAAAAACATAAGATCACCAAATCGGACTTTCACTCTTCGAAACTACCCAATCAGAAGTATTCGACCCCACGCTTTCGACCAATCAGATTCTTTCAAGCTAAAAAACCGTTCAATCAGGAGTTTCCAACCTCGCGCTTTCGACCAATCAGATTTCTGCAAGCTAAAAAACCTGCCAATCAAGGATTTTCGGCCCCGCACTTCCGGTCAGTCAGCATTTTTCAACCTAATAAATCAGCCAATCAGGGTTTTTCGGCGTCGTGCTTTCGACCAATCAGCTTTTTCCAATCTAATAAATTAGCCAATCAAGGGTTTTCGACCTTCCGCTTTCGACCAATCAGATATCTGCAAGCTAAAATTGACCAATCAGGGGTTTTCGACCTTGCGCCTTCGACCAATTAGATTTCTGCAAGCTTAAAATCGACCAATCAGGGGTTTTCGACCTTGCGCATTCGACCAATCAGATTTCTGCAAGCTAAAAAACCTGCCAATCAAGGGTTTTCGGCCTCGCGCTTGCGGCCAATCAGCTTTTTTCAACCTAAAAAATCAGCCAATCAGGAATTTTCAGCCTCGCGCTTTCCACCAATCAGCTTTTTTCAATCTAATAAATTAGCCAATCAGGGGTTTTCGACCTCACGCTTTCGACCAATCAGATTTCTGCAAGCTAAAAAACCGACTAGTCAGGAGTTTTCGACCTCGCGCTTTTGGCCAGTCAGCGTTTTTCAACCTAATAAATCAGCCAATCAGGGGTTTTCGACCTCGCGCTATCGGCCAATCAGATTTCTGCGAGCTAAAAAACCGCCCAATCAGGGATTTTCAACCTCCCGCTTTCGAGCAATCAGATTTCTGCAAGCTAAAAAGCCGGCCAGTCGGGGATTTTCGACCTTGCGCTTTCGACCAATCAGATTCTTTCAAGCTAAAAACCGGCCAATCAGGATTTTTCGACCTCGTGTTTTTGATCAATCAGATTCTTTCAAGCTGGAAAATCAGTCAATCAAGGGTTTTCGATCCCGCGCTTTCGACCAACTAGATTCTTCCAAGCTAAACAACGAGCCAATCAGAAGTTTTCGGCCTCACGCTTTCAACCAATCAGACTCTTTAGAGCTAGAGAACCAGCCAATCAGGGCTTTCCGGGTTCATGGATTCGACCAATTGGATTCTTTCGAGCTGAAAAACCAGTCAATCACGGGTTTTCGACCTCGCGCTTTCAATCAAACAGATTCTTTCGAACTATAGAGCCACCCAATCAGAGCTTTCCAACTTCCGCGATTCGATCAATCAGATTGTTCAAGTTAGATAACCAGCCAGTCAAGGTTTTCCGACCTACGGTATTTGACCAATTATATTCTCTCAACCTCGAAAATCACCCAATTAGGGTTTTGACCTCGCGCTTTCAGCCACCCAGATTCCTTTGAGTAGAACAGCCAGCCAATGAGGCTTTTTCGAGTTCAGAGATTCGATCAATGAGGGTGTGGGTGTATGGATGTTGGTATGGCTGTGAGTGTGAATGTGTGAATGTGGGTGTGGGTATACTGTGGTGCGGGTGTGGGCTTTTTGCGGTGGTGGTGTGCGTGTGGACATGGGTGTCGTTATGGGTGTTGATGAGTCGGGTGTGGTTGTGGTCTGTGGAGGTGCGAGTATGGATTAAGAAAAGACCGGTCTCAACATCTACGCCCATCCATATCGACATTCACCCCCACACCCACATCTGCCCATACCCACGCCATACTCGACACTCACGCCTACGCCCACACTCTCCACCGGCATCCTCTTCGTCAGAAATTCTAATTAATCCCTGACTTTCGAACTAGACAATTAGGTTGAAGAAATAAGGAGTATTTCATAACAAAGTAGCGGTTCGGAACTGTCCATCGAGAATTCTCGTATTATAGACCTAAAGATTTTTCGAAGTAAGAGCAGTCTGGAATTCGATAGGGTGTAAGGCAAAGAGGATTATCTTTTGAGCGAATAAGATTACACGTGGCAGCGGCTAGCCGCTGCACTGGAAAGTTTCCTGAAGAAAGGCGTCAAGTGTTAGGATTGATCGGGAAAATGCCAAGAATCTAAATTTGATGAGCTTCAGTAAGGATCGGAACCGGTAAAAAACTAAAAAAATATTTTCAAGTTAAGTATGAAAACAGTTTTTCAGTACTGGCACTATATCTAAATAGTACATTAGACGAAAAGCAGCACGCAAAGAATTTATATTTACACTGTCGCAAGCAAAATTGAATGAAATAAAATGAATTTTTCTGTTGTTGTATGTCCTTGTTGGTTTAGAAATTGTATTTTCTTAACTATATTGTCAGCTAATAGAGTATATATGGGGTTTAGATTGCGTCTTGACGTGTGAAAAAGATAAAGTGATAGTGAATAGTACGACCTTTTCCAATTTTATGAAAATAATTATGAATTAAGTGACTTTTGTGCAAGGAAGAATCGGCGGATTGCCGGGACTCGGAATCCCATGGAAATCCTGGAAATCCCAGATATACTTAAATTAGATGCCTGAGCAATACTGAAAGTATAACTCATGTTCATGCATGACATATATCACTTCATTCATTTAATATTTTGCAAGGCATTCCTTTAAGAGTACCATGTGGAGGTATGGAAAATTAGCATGTGGATGTTACTGTATCGTGGGAATGGAAAGAAGACGTAAATTCCCACCCTCATTCATATCTTTAACGGAACATTCTAGGCTAAAGAAGCGACTGTTTTCTCACGAAATAACGAGAGCCAACATTGTGGCATATACTACGATTATTTATACGTTTCAAATAGGTGAGAAATTTCAAACAGTTTGCACAATGACGCTCATATTGACTCATAGAAGGCGAATCGGACTACAACTTAAAATTTGACATAAAATATATAGCTACAATCCAACTAAGGGGCTAGCTCTGAAGACGAACTTGCTGTTTTTTAATTTCATCCAATACTTAATGAGTTTTAGTTCTGCGATCAACACTATTCTTCCTACTTTTAACAATAATGATCTATCCATAAATATTAGTACAAGAATAAAAGAAGTAAATAATCTATTGACTTTTTACTCAATGATTGGAGCGATATGCTAACTGATTAGCTTACATTAGTTCACTATCTGGTTCATTCAATAAAATAGGCATGATTAATGAGGAAACGTAACAGATTAGTTCTGATCAATGTTGCTTTGGCTTTTGCTGCCATTTCATGGATGAAGGAAAATGAAGCAGAAGAGTTTTTTTGTGCCTCTAGTATTGATGCATGTCTTACGAGAAAATTTGTGTAAGCTCACAATGGAACTGTTCGTCATGCCAGTTGAATTACTCAACTATATTCGGGTAAAATGATAACTCTTAACGAGAAAATGCCAAATTAAAAATATTAGCCGCTGATGACTAGCCCAGGTCGAGTTATTCAAATGTTAAGATATTGCCAGTTTAGGTATATGGAACCAGTCTAAAGTAACCACAATCTATTTTTACAAAAACTGGTCGATCGAGTTTATCAGGCTTTGCTCAAATTTAACGTATGTAGTATAGAGGAAGCTTTAAAAATAGAGAGATTATAGAGAACACATTGAACGATAAAAAACTTAGCTCCCTAGGAGTCAATGCACGAAAGCTACGACACATCGTGCTCAATCGATGTCTCAAACTTCAATGAAAATTTGCCAGTATGTAGCCATAAGTGAGTTATGAAAACGCTAAAAATTTCAGCTTCTAAAACCTTTCCTTTGTTAAGATATTCAATCCATAATAGAAGCACCCTCGGGTAAAAAACGACTATAATTGATGCAGGCCATATATATTGTATATTTCGCCATTCATCAACAGCAGGGTTTTTCCAGCTGTAATTTTGTGCGTATATACTACTATAGGTATCCTACATACTGGCACACTCAAAACCATATTTCGGCATGTTAACCCTTTGGGGACGGGTTTTTTTTTCTGTATATTTCATCATAAATCAATCAACATTTCTATTTTCTAAAAGAACTTATAATCCATTACTGGATATCTGAATAAAATAACCTAATTACAATCCAAATTATACCAAAAAACTCTCTGATAAATGCTTCACAAAAACTAATCTCATATAGGAATCTACGTGTTTCGAGATGCTAGAGAATCGTCATGGCCCCTTAAGGGGCCAACCGTCCCCAAAGGGTTAAGCAGTATAGAGAATTTCCATAGGTCCTAGATATAAATCCTACCTTGTGATCGGGCTTTCTATCGCTTCTGAGCGATTTATGAGCTCCGGCTTTTGAACTAAGTACTACTGCCCGTGGGATATTAGTAGCAATTTTAAAAACCCTGGCTTTTTGATTTTGGCCTGGACAAAAACCTATTCGAATACGTATGTAAGCCATTCTGCATACCGTTATGATCGACTCACGCGAAAGCCACT